AATTATTCACGTGTGATTGTGTAATTATACAACTATATTTAATATAAAAAGGACAAGAGAAAGAGTGAAGGTAGAGAAACAAAGCGATAGAGGCAAAGAGGGAGAGTATGTAAATAGTTGACGAGGGATAGTTTAGTGTTGGGTTTGTCTCCTATTTATATTGAATTCTTGACCATGTGTAGAAAAGTGAAAGGAAATTGTTAGATGTTAGGTGTGGTCAATGCATAAATGGTGTATTGTAACGGAAATGGTTAAATCAATACATTCAATCGTGTGGTCAAATCAATTCACTTTGTTTAAAATTTGGTGTAAATAATGCATGTGGTCAAATCAATTATATTTATTTATGTGGTCAAATCAATTACACTAGCTTGAAATGTAGTGTAAATAATGCATGTGGTCAAATCAATTACATTGGCATAAAATGTGGTGTAAATACAAGTCATCTTTAATCAAGACCAATTGCCATATTTACATATATTTTACGTATGATTTCATCTAACTTCTAAAATAACTTTCCACTTATGTTCTCAAACTATCGGTCACTAATCGATAAAGTCAATAGACTAGACCAATAACTTATAAGGTCCTTAGACTTTAACAATAGCACACTTAAGTCCTAAATTTAAATCTAGCTAGTAGTAGAAATTTGGGATGTTACAGCCTCCATCTGCATGTCTCGAATATGGCCTTAATTTCACCAACCGACCTTTGGATTGCCCTAAAATTGAGATTACACGTCTGACTTTTAAAGGAAAAGCTGCGTAGTTCCATTTTTGTTCCAATTTATGTCGATTTTGGCCGATCTCTACTCAATCCACACCCTTTCTTTACTTTAGTTGCCTCGGATTTTCTCACCCACAAAGGATGACGGTGGCTGCAAGGTATGACAAAGGAAAGGAAGAAGAATGGAGGCTCTACTCACCAACACATGGCTGGACTCTTTCTCTTTCACTTCTCTCCTGCGGTTACCTTCTCTCCCTTTCAAAACCACACTCTCACGACTGGAATGGAGATTAGGGATATATAGCCAAGATGTTAGGTCACCAATTTGGGCTGAACATATCACGAAATGGGCTGCCACTTCAAGACTGCAACTAAGATAAATGAGCCAATAATATCATCCACATAAATGGGCAACCATATCACCACCTAACCAACAAAATCCAACTCAATAACTTGGGCCCTTCGAAAGTGTTGGTCGTTTCCGGGTCGAGTCAAGTATACGGCGTCAATAAATTTTCCAACATCTGATTTAAATTATCGTCTGAATTTATTGGGTATAATGGAATGCAAGAGGTGCCTTCACCTGATAAACAATTGAAAGAATTAGTGAATTTGAGCTTTTGGTTAATTGGTTTCATCAGTGCTATGTCCATTTGATGAACTGCTTTCTCATATGTCAATGTTCTAATGCCATATTATTTGCAGGTTGGTTAACATGTAAGACGCATGACATCATCGTCGGAAACTATAAATGCATCATTGTCAGTAAATCACTGTGGAATTGCTAACCTTACATTTCATTATCGTGGCACATTTTGTTAGTTTTGGTGATTTGTAGTTGCATATGCTCTTTGTAGTTTTTACACTTCTCCCACTGGACGTAAAGTTAAATAAATCTCATGGCAATAATAGTTTCCAGGAACACGATGAGATTGGGGCCGAGTATTGTGCTTATTTGGAAGCATCACTTTGAGAATGTCAAAAGTCTGTATGGATGATTGAAGTTTTGGTCGTGCACGTGTGTTAATGTTGTACTGTTAAATGGCCATATAAGGAGGAAATTAATATATATGGATTTAAGGGTAAATAAATTCAATTGCCTTCATGGTTCTGATCATTCTTGGTATACTAGATGAGATTACATAATTTACATCAAGTATGAGCTATAATTATGCAAAACTGAGATAATACCGTGTCTCGAGACAAGTGTTGTGTTTTCATGTTTTGCAAAATTTTGACAAATAATAAACAAGAAAATGGGCATATATACTAAAATGGTTTTAGCCTGAGAATGAGGATTCGCATATAATAGGGGATTGATGCTTTATTCGTCTCTAGATACCGTTGCATATGAGCAGCTATGCATGCGGCTTCTAATTTATTATTCAATGCTTTTTAACATTATTGGACAATGAATTAGGAGCCTGCTGTCATCTCGCTTGTGATTATAATAGAATCATTCATACAATTTACTTTTATCTTCTTTTTGTGGGGAAAAAAATACTCTTACACATTGAACTTAACCAACTAGCTTGCATTTAGTCAATGAATTTTCGAGCATCATGTACTTAAACTTCATGGGAGTTAAGAAACTTGTTGGTTTAATTAATTATATATCCAATAAGGATTTTTTATTTATTATTATTTTATTTACTTTATCATATTTTTGGGCTAACCAATTTTCTTTAGTTCGCACACTCTTCTGCAAGGGAACATTACATAACTACAAAGATTTCATATTTTTAAGAATAACTTCAAAAATCGGTTGATCACTTTTTGTGATATTTGATAAAATACTGTGATATATAATTTAATTAAACAGGTTACAATCATAATAATAAATAATTTAGAATTATAATCATATCTTTGACACAAATCACATAAGGTCAGTCACAAAGACAATATATATATAGTCGTAAATTAAATATTTTATTAGGTCACACAATTTATAGTAATGATTACAATCACCAAAATATAATTTGTAAATCACAATTACATATTTAAATCCAAAACAACACAGTTTATTTGGTCATAAATTATTTACGACCCACAATTTACCAACTAATTAGTCACAATTACTTAGGGATGACGATTTGGCTCGTCGGCTCTAATCGCCCGTGACTCAATGGGCTGACTTGTTAAAACTCAACGGGCTGACTTGTTAAAAAAAAAAAAGAAAGAAAGAAAGAGGCAGTAGAGTTGCCTTTCAGAAAAAAAAGGAAGTTGGCTCGGCTTGGCCCGATTCGATAAGGCCTTAGTCGAAAGTTCCAATCAAGCCTCGAATTTTTGGTCGAACTTTTGATCGACTCGGACCCAAAAAAGCCCATCTTAATTTTACTCGAGTCGAGTCCGAGTCTCGAGTTTCGACTCGCGAGAAAACTTAACTCGACTCGTTGACATCCCTACACTCACTTTTTCAATTCACACACCCCACCCACCCCAATCCTATTCCACTCCACCGTCAACAGTACCACCCAATCGTCATTGTCGCTATCACCTCCAATTCCAACTCATCACCATCACCACTTGCACTATGGATCCACCATCACCTCCACAATTCAACCACCGTCAGCACCACCTTCAATGCTCCTCAAATTCACCACGACTTCCACGATCAAAATTCTGTCACCACCACCATATTCACTTACAAAACACCCCTAATTTACCATTGGATTAAGAAACCACAAGCACATAATTAGAGATGCAACATAGATGTAGAAAAGCACAATTAGAAGAAGATTCTAGTCTGTTTTACGAAGACCCATGGTTGGAGTAACGGTGGAAGGGATGGTGACACCATGGGTGTAGGTCCATGATGGTGGGGGCAGTCGACGACGATTGGATTTAAGGTTTTTAGTTTTGCAACTCTGAAAGTTTCTTTTTTTTTTTTTTAGATTTTTTGCCCTACGTCGTGTTGTGTGGTCAATTGAAGGTGGGAAGGGTTAATATGCTTGGACAGACCCCTATCCATATAGCATCTCCCAGGTGGGAATTGTATTTGGGAGGTGATTCCATCAATAGATGGTAAGAAATGATGGTGGCAACGTTCGTGGGGTTGAAATTGGGGGTTAGGATTAAGGGTGAAAGTAGAGCCGGTCTTGAGGCGAGGTAGATGAGGCTTGCGCCTTAGGCCCAAAACTAGAAGGGGCCTCACTTCGTCACTTTTTTTTTTTGCTTTTTGTTGCAATTAAATGAAAAAATTGAAAGGAGAAATCATTTGTCTTTCCCCACGGACTCCTGCTCCCCGCCTCTCCTCTCACATGGAGATACAACATTGACTTGGGAAGAAAGTTTCAGATTACCTTCAATTATGGATTCTGCAGGGCCTATAGCAATCGATTATGTCTCCAAAATTGCTTCATAATCCAGAAGAAGTCTAGAATAATCCAAAATGGTAAGAATTATTTGCATTCACCGGCACCGATTTGCTAGAATTGTGTAGAGAAATCTTCCACCAACAATAGCTCACCATATATATATGTACGTGTACAACCTCTCCATTTTGAGTATAAGTAGATGAAAGAAGTGAAAAACAAAATATGTGTATGCCTCAAAGTGTGAAGATAATGGGCAGAGAGAGAAAGAGATTAGTGAGAGAAAAAAGGAAGAGAGCAGGAAAAATAGTCAGAACGAAAGATACAGAAGAGCAGATGGGCAGTGCATTGTTGTGAGAGAATTTAGAGGAATGATATAATTAAAGATTGATGTGCTTGCTTAGAATGAAATTATTTTAGCAATGTATGTTTGTCAAAAATTAATTATACAAGTTCTTTGTATAATAAAAATAAATTTTTGTGTGTTTCAAATTCAGCAATTTGGTTGTTGTTCTAGAATTCAACAATTTGGGAATTTTGGGTAAATAGATAATATATTTGGTTGTTGTTTTAATATTAATTTTTTAAATTATCAATAGATCGCATAATACACCGTTAAATTTTGCATTTACGTTACTTTTGCTGGACGCCTAATTTACACACTTGGCCTCAGGCCCCGACAATCACAGTACTGGCCTTGGATGAAAGTAGGGATGTTAGTGGATATGGAATAAGGTGGGGTGGATTAATCTTGCTACACATTTAGACTCAAATTCAAATAGGACACATGTCAATATTTAATTGAACAGTTTGAAAAATAAAAATAAAAATACCCAATCATTTTCTGAAATATCAGTCTGTCTCTTTATTTCCTATTTTTAAGCCTAGCTCCTCAGTGAAGCAATAAGGAAAAAAATGAACTTTCGAAATATTAATTTTAAATCGTGTTTCCAGATCTCACGTGATAATTTTCTAGATCAGTATTGTGAAACAGTGAAAGTGAATTGGAGTGACGAATTAATTGCACAAACAACCACGCTTTATCCATTGTTACTCTAAGCCCAGTTAAAAGCCTCTCTTCAAGGTAAGATAAATTTGTGTGAAGCAGAGGGGAAAGGGGCACGTGTTCCGTCGGCATCGGCAGTATCAGATTTATTTGTGTAAAAAAGGTTGGTGAATGATTTAATTTCAACTCAGCTCCTGAGCATTTATTTTTATTTTTTCCAAAATTGTTGTTTCTTGGTTATAATCTTCCTCTAGCAGCGAATTTTCTTGAAAACATCGCGTCCCTCAAAGTGTAATAGGTGAAATACAAGATCCGCCGCCACCAGACACTTGCGGAGATTACTTGAGGTTTGATTAATTAGATTTTTGTCCTATTTTAATCTTCTGGTTATTAGTAAGTAATATTGTCTATTGGCACTTGTAGGAGGAATTATTGTTGAATAAATTCCAATATTTTGAAAATCGACCCGGAGAGAGGGTCCAGGTTAGAAGGTCGAATCGAAAATAATATTGTTAAATAAAAAATCATTTATTGATATATATATAATTTTGATAATAATGCATTCTTGAATAGTGTATTGATGGGAAATGTGTGATTAAAAAATAAGAAAAAATATTTTTTTGCGTGTAATATTATTTTATTGAAAAATGTGTAGTTGAAATGATGTCAAATCACTGTTTAAGAATGCATTTTTTTAAAATAATGTGACTCGAACAATCCCTAAATGATAACCCGTTGCTCACTCATCTATCCATTTCCTTACCCATTCATCACCCATTTGATTTCCGTCACCCTCCATTAACGAAATGTGCCACTTATTGGACGGAAATCCGATGAGGCACGTTACATGCATGAAATCAGGCCACATGGCCAATTTTTCAGAAACACCAGAACCACCTGCGCCAGTCATCATCCTCCTCCTCTCTGCCGCCATCTCCTCCCCTTCTCATCCTCACACCACCAATGCCACTGCCATCTTTTTCACCTATTACTCCTCTCCCTTGTCCAAGGATCTCCCCTTGCCCATGAATGGCTTAAATTTGGTCAGTTCTTCAATCTCCTCTTCTACCTATTTTGGAGCATTCTCTTTAACCTTCTCAATCTGGTGAATTATAAATGGGTTTAATCTGTCCATGTCGCAATCCATGACATATTGCTGGGCTAGGTTTCGTTACCTAAATATTAATGTAAAACTTCTTGATGAGTTTTGTTGAATGTGGCTGCATTTTGGGTTTGAAAGTTGGATGAATATTGTTGAATGCGGCTGCATTTCATGAAATTTCCTGTCGGAAATAAGGCTCTTTCGACCAATACAGGCTCTCCTTCTTGTAAATTCAAGTTCTTCCACCTTGACCGCGGTGAATTTCGAGATGCCTTATATTTTAATTTGAACTTCCGCGATGAAATTCAAGATTTCAGCTGTGATTTTGGGGGCGATTTTTAGGGTTCTTCATGGATTTGGGGGTGAATTTGGGTTCTTCACAAATTTGGGGGCGATTTCTATGGTTCTTCACGAATTTGATGGATTGAAAATTCTTTCTAGGGAGCAGAGGGGGAATGGGTGGCGGAGATGGCGATACCATTGGTTAGGGACCGGGTCTTGAACGTTGATAACTAAATGGGGCTTATGGTCCGATGGTAGCGTTGACAGTAGCGGAGTGGAGAGAGAGTGATGTTCTGCCATTGTTGATGCCTTTGACAGACAAAGGATGAAAAGTAGGGAGAGACAAAGAATTTGCCGAAAGACTGTTAATGTAGAGAGAATAGAGTAAATTTAATCAATGTGGCCTGATTTTACGCATCCATGTGGCCTGATTTCATGCATGTAACGTGCCACGTCAGATTTCCGTCTGTTACGGGGCACATTCCGTTAGTGGAGGGTGGTGACGGAAATCAAATGGGTGATGAATGGGTAAGGAAATGGATAGATGAGTGAGCAACGGGTTATCATTTAGGGATTGTTCGAGTCACATTATTTTAAAAAAATGCATTCTTAAACAGTGATTTGACATCATTTCAACTACACATTTTTCAATAAAATAATATTACACGCAAAAAAATATTTTTTCTTATTTTTTAATCACACATTTCCCATCAATACACTATTCAAGAATGCATTATTATCAAAATAATGTGGCTCAAACACCCCCTTATTGTTCAGTGAGCAAGTAGAAATATTAGGCAAAGTTGGGTGAGCATTGATTAAATTTACTCGAAGAGAAAGCGGCTGCCTTTTGTAATATTTTCAAGTTTTCTTGCGTCACAATTTTGTGTCGTTTTAGATTTTTGGGTACCATATATTGAGCCTAAGATAAATGGAAGAAGTTTGATGAAAGATTGCCGGACTCTTCTTAACTTTCTAGTTTTTTCCCCTCGAAACCAATTCAGCATTAATCGGACCTGTCATACGTCTGGTTCCCAGTTTTTATGTTCGAACTGGCCGGTCCAATGCCTTTTTTGATAAATTCTGTAATGCAATAGTTATTTGTCTAAAAAGATTGCTTAGGCTGTATTTAGAAAGAAAATATTACTTTTAAGCTAGGATTTCTCCATTTTCTTTGGTTTTTTAATTTGAAAGAGAGTAATGCAATTCATAGTCACTTAGTTGCCCTATGTGACATCCTACGTAGCGGTTTGTGATTTTATGTATTAATGTGGTAATTTTTTCTTGTCTTATATATCAAATTATTAACCCTCACATGTATATCACGTAGATCAACTGTGATAGTGAGTAACTGCAAGTAGCATTATTCTTTGAAAAATAAATGGGAATGAGAAGCATTTCATGGAATCGAGGAGTATTATAGTGCTGAATCAGGAACCCTAGATATTTGGATTCTCACTGAACTGCTATGATTTCCCCTTTCATCCATGGTTTAAAACTACAATAAAATACGTCATGTTCTTAATAAATGTGGTTTGGCTATATGATTTTATTTACTTTACTCATTTTAGCTTATTGCCATAACTATCCGAAATAGTTTAGACCGGGTTGGTTTGTATTCAGTTTTAAACCTTTTTTTTTTTTTTTTCATTATTCTATAAGGGTCTCTTTTAATATTGTCGAAAACACGTTTTTCTTGTTATTCTGAAAAAATGTATCTAAAAGCAGAAAACTAATAGATATGTTTGGTTTGGAATTTTTAAAAATTGTTTTATGATATTTTCTTTAATGAATTTGATTATCTAGTAAAACAAAACAATTTTATTCTAATATAGGTAACACATATATTTTAAAGTTGGTGAATTTTACAATTTTTTTTTTCGCTACAAAAGTAAAATACGAACAAATTATAAATTGAGGTGGCAAAACATAGTAATAAAAAAAAAATAAAAAAATTAATGATATGGGCTGAGATTTTTTTACCCATTTTCATTTAAATAATTTTTTTAGAATTTTTATTTAAATATAATCAATAAGAACTTTAACTAATTTATTTTTTCTGTTTAAATAAAAAAAAATTTTAAATGCTTATTTTCTGCCCTTTTATTGTTTCACGGAAATCACTAAAACTTCAAAAATATATTTTGAGTTTTATGTTATGAATTTAAAATTTATTTTCAAAAATATCAAACTAAACTAGTATTATGTATTTTACAAAACTGAAAACAGTGAACCAACACCCCCTTGTTTTAAGAAATTCTATTCGTTCTATTCAATTACCATCTCTTCTTAAAGTTATGGAATTGCTAACTATTTGTTTTGGAACTGATCAGTTTTGTGAAGGAAGGTCTCTCCCTTTGTTACAAAGAAGCAGTAAATTTTTGGTTCTTAAAATGAAGGAAGAAGAAATAAATAGATGTCAGATTCAGGAATGGTATCCAAAATTCGAATCTGTATCAATAAAAACCCAGATTCATGAGCTCCCGGAGTCCTTTATTCAGTACCTTCTCGACGATTCTGGTCCCTTCCTTCTGCCTCTTTCCATTTCAAATGATGATGCCCTCCCAAAAAGAGTTAATAAGCCCGAAGAGGAAGAAGATTTTGTGGCGTCTGAAGGTTCTGGAGATGAAGCTGAAGAACCATCACCACCCCCTTCTTTCCCAGAACTGGAAATGAGGATTAAAGAATCCATTGAATTCCTTGGGGGTGCTGCATTTCCCAAGCTTAACTGGAGTGCACCTAAAGACTCTGCATGGATAAGTTCAACTGGAAACCTCAAATGCACCAATTTCTCTGAGATTTCTCTTTTGCTGAAATCTTCCGACTCTCTGGTCCATGATCTTTCTCATGCATATGATTTGTGTTGTGACAAGACTGCATCAAGGCCACTGAGTTTTTACCTCGCACTTCGCAAGTGGTACCCTTCCCTGCAGCCTCATATGGAATTTCGTTGCTTTGTATGCAATCGGAATCTTGTTGGAATCTCCCAACGTGAGGTCACTAATTTTTATCCTGTTCTTCTTGAGAAAGACAATTTGAAAATGACAATCAGAGGATTTTTTGTGGAGAAGGTGATGGAAAATTTTGAGTCTGAAAGTTACACGTTTGATGTTTATGTCACAAGAGATGGACGAGTTAAACTTTTGGATTTTAACCCTTGGGGTGGGTTTACCTTGCCATTGTTGTTTACTTGGGAGGAATTGGAGGATAAGTTAAAGGATGAAGACCATGAATTGGAGTTTAGAATTGTAGAGAACAGCTGTGGTATTCGTCCAGGTTTAAAGACTGCAGTTCCTTACGATTATCTAGATACAAGCCCAGGCAGCGGTTGGGATCAGTTCCTAAGGAATGCCAATGAGGAATCAAGGCGGCAGCCAAAATCTGCTGAAGCAGGTGCATGAGTGTTTGCTTGCGGATGGTAGGTGAATTGGTGCTTTTTCTCATGTGAAAAACTAGCTGATGGTAGAAATTGCTACTTTCTTGTTTTTATTGTGTTCAGCTTCAGCATATTCTAGAAGCAAAAGACGCATGAACTGCCCTTTCCAACTGCAATATTTCTTTATGTTCTGAATAGATGGTTGCTACAGCAAATTTCATCTTTATGCTACCCTGATGCTTGATCTGTTATTTTGAAGTTTCATTATTTATTCGTTATTTTGTCTTTCTGGTGATTGCTTTAGAATGACGGATGGCTTGTGACTTCGGAATCATCTATGATTGAGTTGTGAAAACTTTGGAATAAATATGTTACATCTAAACTGAATTCTTTCCGGTTAAAGAATCACTTTCTAGTTGCTTTGGAACAATTAAGAGATTCTCTAGAAGAAATACGGGGTTTAATGTTATATTTTTACCTGCTTATTGAGGTCAATTTCACCATTTTCCGTTGCTAACTAAATAATGATGTACCCGTCCCCAATTCTAGAGCTCGAGGAGTTGTCACATGCTGTCTCATTCTCGAAGTATGGCACAAGATACTGTAAAAAATACGAGGCAGGAGTGTGTTGAAGAATGAATTGACCTATCTCTTTTCGCTGAAGCATTTTTGGCCGATCAAATCATGTAGAGCATCACTTAAACATGTGTTTAGGGGTTGACTCAAACGTATGGTACTTGGAAGGATTTCTGAGCATGATCCTTGGGTGATGAAGGGGTTTGATTGCACCTTGGTAGCCTTTGCGATTAGTGATTGCATTTCTTACGTATTTAGGCTTAGACAAGATTATTGCTGAACCTTTCTGCTTTACGGTAGTTTAAGAGGGTAAAAGCATTTTTGGCCGATCAAATCATGTAGAGCATCACTTAAACATGTGTTTAGGGGTTGACTCAAACGTATGGTACTTGGAAGGATTTCTGAGCATGATCCTTGGGTGATGAAGGGGTTTGATTGCACCTTGGTAGCCTTTGAGATTAGTGATTGCATTTCTTACGTATTTAGGCTTAGACAAGATTATTGCTGAACCTTTCTGCTTTACGGTAGTTTAAGAGGGTAGCACTAATTATTTTATATTGTTTGTTTCTTGTATAATTATTTATTATTTATAGATGTTGGACTGAGAACTTCAATTCTAGGCTTAAGCATGATAAATAATGTAGCTTGAATTCCTTCTTTTATTTTTTTTCACCTTTCTTATGTTGCTGTGGTTAGTTGTTGAACTATCAGAACTAGGAACTTAGCAGGAATTGCGTGTAATTCAGGTGAATCTCATTTAACACCTTTGCTCCCCTCTCCCACCCAGGTACTATCATTTCTTAAATGTCGATAGACTTGTAACGCTACTTCACAGGGCACATTGAATAAAACCAGACATTATCGGCACAATAGCATTAGAAAAAGAAAAAAAAAGTACTCCACTTCATTTTTCAAAGCTTGATTGATTGAGTACAATAACTCAGCTCTGCCTTGGAATTGCATCAAGAAGAGTATTGTTACATAATTAAAGAAAGTGCATAATTAGGTTCAACACATCTCACAAACAATATTCCAAGCCCGTGTATCCAATATCTTTTTCTCATCAAATTTCCGGAAGTACTTTCACTCAGCCTGCACATAAAGCTCATGCAGTCTTGAATACTGGAACATTTTCTGAAGGTGGTAATGTCACTGAACGCAGTAGCTCCAAAGAGAACACTAGACCTAAAAAATGTGAGAGGATAGTATTTGCAGATGCCTGTAACACAAGCCGATGAAGACAGAAAGTTTGTCATTATCTACTATCAAAAGTAACCAACTCACAAGGCAGCAAAAATTTTCGTTTAGTAATGCTTTTTGGTTAAATTGATTAAGCAAACATAATTGCCCACAAACAAAAAATAGGATGCAAGGAAATAAGTTTTGAATATTGAAATCAAGAATGTAGGGGCAGGTGCATGAAGAATACCTGCACCAAGAACACATCCAAGGCAAGAACAGGACTATTCCCAGCAGAGAGACCCTGGTAATAAGGATTGGCCGAGGTTGTAAGAGCTTTAGCAACCAACAAACCAACAGTTGCTTGCATACCGAGTATAGCAGCGCCCATTCCCAACAGGTTTACTACTATTCCGTTCTTCAGGCTTCTTACAACATCTGCACGAGGAGGAGCCTGAAAGGTGAAAACACATTAGACTTGGGAGCTGAATTCATCGTACACAAAATTTAAAAAAGAGAGAACAGAGTTACGTATCTGTGTAAACTATTCTTTATCATTGATAAATGATACGAAGCTGTAAGATTCAAGAAAAACAAAGATTTATAAAATGGGCCGAATGATTTATGTCAATTTTACAAAGAAATAAAGACAAGCCCTGAAAATATGTTTTCGACATCTTAACCTCCACCCGTCTCAAAAATATGTGACATTCAAAATGGCATTTGCTTGTGTAGCACTAATTCAGTGTAGGGTGAAATTTGGCGCACGCAAATAATGAGATACATGTAATGTACCTTTTTTAAACAGAATCTTGCATAAATTGATAATAAAAAACCCTTCGCCCACAAGAAAGGAACTGGTTAGTGTCAAGTAATAAAAAGAACGTTGAATTGCACAAATAGTTGCATTTTCCTGGATGTCTACAGAAAAGGATAAGAGTAGAGTGTTTCTAAGCCAGTAGCGGAACAAATCTTACCACAATTTGGTTTAATTAAGCTAGGAATATCATGCATACAGCATATATGTCATCTGGAACATCTGAGCTGTTACCAGCCATGTGTGGGGGACAGGTCAGTCGCAAGTAACTGATATATTTCTAGTGATGTTCAAGCAATATTGCAGCATCCAAAGTAAAATAATTTCCAATGCACGTTCACAATCAAAAGAACAACATAATTCAAAGAATAATTTGGAACAATGCCAATCAGAATGCTATAGCAAGTACAATTGATACAAGAATGTAACATTGGGCAGTAAAAGTTCAAAAACCTTTCTGGATTTAAGTCAAAATTGGTATCATACCTTTGAAGGATCGTTAGCTGTTTTCCGAAGCTTATCAGATAAACGAATATAGCCAAATGACCAGAAGACAGAGACGAAAGCAGCTGCAATGCCACCAGCAGTTGCATAAAAGGTAGCTGGTGATGTAATCTTCCCAGTAACGATGACTGAAAATGAAAGGATTACAGCAGCAACAACCGTGCAAACTAACTGTCCCCAAAATCCTAAACCTCCCAGTCTCTTGAAATACCTAGATGTGCTCTCTAATCTCTTTGAAACCTAAAAACCATCAGTCAATTAGCAGACAACATCTCATGGACTCAACATATTGTTCATTCTAATTAAGAAAAATCAAGGAATAGAAAAACTCGACAGAGAATATATAAAGCATATAAAAGATTTCAATGTGAAACTATAAACCTGAAATTTGTGAAACAAATTGTTTAAACAGAAATGACTGCATAGACCTATTTGGCTAAACTGGAATTTGAACCAACCACACCGGCTCCTATTTATTTTGCTAAATCCAATGCAGATAATAATAATTGCTCAAAATTTAAATTAATTTTTGTCTTCAACTTAAATTTTAATGAACTTTAAAAATCCTTCTAAATTCAAGTGGCCCTAATTGAGAGTTTAATAGTTTTTCTTAAAATCCATTAAAATTCAGGTGTCCCCAATTGAGATTTCAATTTGATATTTAGGTATTCTCAGTAACCAGTGAATTTATAAAAATTTCATCAATAGATTTGCATTGCAGACTCTTTTGAAATTTCCCAGTTCGCAATGAAATTCTTATGGATTATGTGAAAATCTATTCAAATCCACGAAATTCAATAGAATTTATAATCTTTTAAAATCTAAATTCTTAGTTGGGAATGCCCGTTAATTTCTGTAATTTAAAGGTTCAATTTTGTGCTGATAGCCTGATACCCAATCTGTAACAAGCAATTGTCTGTTTCAAAATTCAAAAACCCCACTGTACAATCATATGTTTACACCCTAAACCCTAAATTCAAACTAACAGAAATATATTTTGAAATCCATAAATACACAATTCAACTCAATAAAAATCTACACATCAAATATCGAAATGCCACGCATATAAATATTGCACAATGTGCTAATAAACACTGAACATAAAAATAGAGAAAGAAAGAGACCTGAGCGAGTTTGACCTTTTCAGAATCGTCACTGGGAGAACTAAACTCTGCAGAAATGGGGGAGGAAGCATTGGTTTTCCTGTCATGATTTTTGAGAATCAAGCAAGGTGAAGATAAAAATTGGAGTGATTTTACTGAAGAGAGAGATGAATGAAGGTTAGGCGTGGCGTTAGAGGAAATCAATGGGTGGTGGAGATAGGAAGGCAGAGTCTTTGCTATCCTCGCCGTGAACGGTGGAGCTGGTGGTGCGACGCCGGAGCGAGCTGCCGGCAAGAGTAGAGTCTGCATAGCTTTAAAGAATAAACAGGCCCGTGAAGCAAAGAATAGCTTTTAAATTCATTATAGCATCTCCTTTTTTTTCTACAACATTTCATTATTTCTTGTCTTTACTCTCCATCTAGGATTAATTATTTTATAGGTCCCTCAACTATAGTTTTCGTTGCTATTTAATAATTAATTTTAAAACTTATCTAATTGGTCACTGAATTCGAGTCGTGTAACCCATCCATCACTAAGATGGATTCTGTTTCATCCTGTCGATAGAATTATCCACGTGGTAAATGGGCTGACATGGCATAAATTAGACAATAATTCTTGCCACGTGGCAACATTAAATATGAGAGAGAGAGAGAGAGAGAGATAAATATAAGACTTCATCTTTCTCACTCTCATCTCTATGAATTCTCATTATCTCTTCTACAACCTCGTCTATTTCATCATTGAGGACTCCATTGTAACCAAGATTAATCCAGAAAAAATGCACTAGCTAATAAAACTAAAAATTAGGAGGAGGCGGCACAATATAGGGGTTAATAACTCAAATGGTCACTGAATTTTGTAAAAGATTTACACATGATCATCAAACTTTAAAAATCACTTCATTCATCACTAAACTTTGCAAAAGATATCTATGATTCAGTGATCCTCTAGAAAACCTTTTGTAAAATTCAGTGTTGAATGAGATGATTTTTAAAATTCATTGATCCTCTGAAAATCTTTTGAAAAGTTTAGTGATCTCGTGGAAATCTTTTATAAAGTTTAGTAATGACTTGGGTCATTTTTTAAATTTCAGTGACTCGATGAAGACTTTTTGCAAAGTTCAATGAGCATTTTGATTATTAACTCAACAATATAGAAAGAAAAATAATGTTACTTGCACATAAGGAGATATATAATAGTTTACACACAAATGAAGTATCAAAAACAGAGTGAAGAAGGTTTTTTTTTTTTGGAAGAAATTTTGACTCAATCACATTTCCCCACATCAAGCATATATAAATTATTATGTACATGTAGTATAAATTCATGAATTGTTGTCATGGTAGGGGTGCGTAGGCGAGGAAGATGAAGGTATTATTTTTTATTTTATAATCAAAATTTAGATTTATTGGAATATGGAAACCCCCCTTATGGAGGAAAACCACGGTTACATCTCTCAAACAAACTGACATCCCAACTAGAAAAATTAAGGACGCGAATATGTAAGTACCCATCTGGATGTGTGCAAAATTCCTACCAGTTGTGCCTCGAGTTAATTGTTCCAATAGTCTTTGAACTTAGGTTCATGTTTTTTATTGATCACTGAAATTTAAATTGTCGAATTTTGATCATTGAACTTAGTTCAATATCTTCGATTGCTTATGGAACTTAGGTTCATGACTTTGATTGGTCACTGAAATTTAAAATGTCGAGTTTTAACCGCTGAACTTTGAAAAATGTCAAGTTTTTATCACTGAAATTAGGTCTATATCTTTGATTGCTCGCTGAAATTTTAGATGTTGATTTTTAACCACTAAATTTTGGAATATACCGTACGTTACTCACTAGCACAACTGTTGAATTTTGAAAAATATCGAGTTTACAGTGAGTAATGTACATCATTTTTCAAAGTTCAGTGAATAATGTACAATATTTTTCAAAGTTCAGTAAGTAATGTACAACATTTTTCAAATTTTAGTGGCCAAAACTCGACATCTTAAATTTCAGTAATCAATCGAAGAAATGAACCTAAGCTCAGTGACTAAAATTCGACATTTTTCAAAGTTCAGCGGTCAAAACTTGACATTTTAAACTTCAATGAGCAATCGAAGATATGGACCTAAATTCGGTGACCAAAACTCGGCATTTTATACTTTAGTGACTAATAAAAAATATGGACCTAAATTCAGTGACCATTGGAACAATTAACTCAACATCCTCCACAATGAAACGTTAAGGATGAACCAGTAGTTGCCTCCTTTGCAAGGAAATCTGCCACCATATTCGATTTGCAACAAAAAATAAAAATAAAAATAAAAAATGGGACACCAAGGCATTAAGCTTGCAAACCAACACCATGATATCCTCCAAAATATCCCGGAAGCACCACAAATTACATTTACCTCTCATCAACCAGATTATCACAAAGAGGGAATCAGATTCTACCATTACCCCATACAAGCCCAACTCTTCACATAAATTTAAACCATCCCAAAGAGCATGAATCTCGGTATACATATTTGAACCAGACCTCCACCACCTGCAAGACCCGGATTTCCTCTAGACGCACCATGTCGAATTAGTATATATCGCGTGGGCAATTTGTCGAAGAGAATTCATCCCAATGATGAATGGGTAATACGACTCAAAGTTCAATGATCAACCAGCTACGTTTTAAAGTTTTGTTGTTAAGTAGTGGGGATTATAGTTCAATGAGCAATGAAGTAATTAACCCATTTTTTGTAGGTAGTATATTAAAGATCTATTATTTGAAACCTTTTTTCTACATACTCATTTTTAATCACATATTCGCACAATAAAATACTCTATACGTAAACATAAAACATTTTCATATTTTTTAACCACATATTTTCTTAAAAATCATTATTTCAAACATTATTTTTCCCAAAGAATGATTGTCAAACTGGAGCTTAATTATCTATACAATAAACTATACATCATTTCTAATTCACTATTTCGATGAAGAATGGACCAATAATGAGATTTTTAGAGAAATGGAAAATTCAAAATGCTCGGGGATGGAAAAGAGGGAACGTCTATAATACCTTAATTTAATTAGACACAATTTGAAAGATTTGGGACGTTTATTGATCAGGATTTGACAAAGAATTTTATAAGTTTCCAAAATTAAAAGATACATATCAAGAAATAGAATTTCAAATTAGTACTTATACTTTTATTTTATTTTATTTTATTATTTTATTATTTTTCGTGTATGAGGATAAATTGCAGAAATCATCCCAACTTATCCCCTTTTACGTTTTCATTCCAACCACTTTTCTCCTTTTTTAAATAACCGGCGTAAATGATCATAAAATAAGTGACTGTTTTCGGCGAAAATCCTTGTTAATTTGATATTAATTTTGGATAAATTCCACTGTTGTTCTAATTCTTTTTAAGTGTAGCACATATGTCCCCAGCTAATAGAAAATATTTCTTTAAACGATGAATGTTCACGTAAAACTCATGCTATGTTGCAATGGGTTGAAGGAGATAAGTTTCACAAGTATAGACAAATTCTATCATGTTCGTATTCTTACAAGAAAGTTGACGTCACTATTTAAATTATTTTAATAAAAGAACTATTTACGTACAACTTTACCGTGTCACGTGATTATTTAATGTTCAAATAAACATTTTTCGCTATCTGAAAACAGTGGTGCCACAGTTCTTAGAGACAAAGGTGAAAGGTTGATGACTCTGTGAAATTTAGGTAAATTCTTTTAAAATTCAACTTGCTTCCATCCCTCTTCATCTATTCCAGAGCTTGCAAAACAGACAAAAATTAAGGATGCTGTTAGTGGATTTGTATTAAGATCAACCAGAAAACAAACACAAAGTTAGTCACATGCTTCTCTTACCATCAATTAGTCAGCTTTCTTTTCTTTCTATGACAACTTTTAGTCAACTTCTTTGGCATGTTAAAAGTTCAATAATTGTGTGTAATTGCCTAACGACAAAGAAAAGATCATCCCAAGAAAACATCATACATAGTACTAGCAATTTGATTAATCGATAAAACTTACAGCTTTTCGTCAATTATTAACAAGATTCAATCCCTTTATTCTGCACCAAATATTCCAAGTCAAGAAAGAACAAAGGGATGGCCTTCATGGCATTTTTTCAAGGACATGTAATGCATCTTTCATGGAAGGTCTTTTCTTTGGAACCAATGAAGCACAAGAAAATCCAAGCTTAAACAACGATAACATGGCTTCCTCTTGGATAGCCACATCACCTCTTATTGCCATGTCAGCCATCCTTAGAACCCAGTTCGGATCCTGGACAACCGAATCACTGGTCCATTGGCTCAACTCTCGGTCCGAAAATACTTTTCCTGTTATAAGCTCAAGCAACAAAATTCCGAAGGAATAAACATCCCACTTGGGATTAGGCTTGAGGTTTTTGTGTGACTCCGGTGCATGATATGGGGACGTGCACCCAACAAAGACTACCGGCGCAATGGAGGGGCTTCCATTAATCGACTGATGATCATGTACGTTATCGTGTGAAGATGTTGATCTCTTGCTACCATAATGCCTAGCAGAACTATCGGATTTTAGGCTACGCTTGCCATATATAAGCCAATGGATTCCTAAATCACTGATCACGGGCTCCATTTCTGCTGTCAACAGAATGTTGCTAGGCTTGATATTGCCATGTACATGTTTCTTCTCATGGATGTAAGTCAGTCCCCTGGCAACTCCTTTCGCAATCTTAAGCCGAATTTTGAAAGGCAAATGATATGGAGATGAACCGGTTTTTCCTGAAAAGAAAGATGCCCTTTAATTAATTACACAGTTAAGTGCATGTTTTGTATGGAGTAATGAACAAGATTAAATTTTTTTTTTTTTTTTTTAAATTTCTTAATACTATCGACTACTGTTAAGCCTGAGACTATGTATTGTAGACAGAACTACGAGGTAATGCTGCAAATGTCTCTGTCTTATTATGTGTTTTCTATGGACAAGCATTTTCAGAGTTATTTCCCTCACAGGGAAGACCTTTTGGGGACAACATATGTACCACAGGAGTGGTCGCTATTTTGATAGTAAATGTATCTGAAAATAACTAAAAATACTACTCATGGTCCCAAATTTATTGGAAAAATCAGGGACAAAATCAACAAGACTTGCCATGAAAGATATGGGACTACATGCAACTTCTGAAAAAACTGATGTCAATACTACCAAACAATAATAGAAGTGCAAAAATTTTGAGAGAAAATACTGGCTGAAACTTGTGCAAACACTAATATTATGAAAATCTGGCGGAAAATTATAATATGACATTGATAATAAAAATTCAGAAATAGGTAGAATTCATGGAAAATTAAAAACTTACTGAAACCAAC